CAAGTTGAAGTGGAGCTGCGAGAATGCCACAAGTTAGCAGTTGCGGAGAAGGATGAAGATCAACGAAGAAGACGTCGTGAATCAGGAACAGCTAGGAGATTGTTTGCCAGCCACAACAACCGATTGTTTTGTGCTTTCTGCTGTGGGGAGCACAAAAACGAAGAGTGCAAGAAGATAACAGGGCGGACAGAACGTATGCAACTTCTTCGTAAGTTTAAGAGATGTTTTATTTGTCTAAATAAAGGTCATTTAGCTAAAGATTGTCGTGCACGTACTAAATGTTTTGTATGTGGGGAGGGTCATCATGTATCTATATGTGACAAAGGAAAGAAGGATGAAAAACAGAGTGGTAGCGCAGAGAAAACAGAGCAGGTAAATGTGAGTAACGTGCATGTGAGTACAAAGACTAGGGTAGCCTTGCAGACTTCGCAAGAATTCTTGTAGGTCAGAATAGGAAGAGAGTACGAGAGCTTTTTGACTCGGGAAGTGAGAAGTCTTTCGTGACAAACAGGGCAAAACAAGATGCGAAGCTTAATATAGCAAGGCGGGAATGGATAGAGGACAACAAATTTGGTGGTGGAACAAATGAAGGTAACATGACAGAGGTCGTCAATTGCGAAGTCGCATCAGTTAGGAGTAATTGCAAAATTCGTTTTAAGGCATTAGTGGTTCCACGTATTTGTACGGTAAAAAATGAGCATATTGAGGTTGATAAGGAGCAGTATTCTCATTTGAAAAATTTGTTTATGTCAGATGTAAGTTTGAAGCAAGAGATTTTGAAGTGGATGTTTTGATAGGAGCAGATAACCTTTGGGCTTTTCAGAAAGGAGAAATATTTAGGGGCAATAAGGATGAGCCAGTTGAAATTGACACTTGTTTAGGATGGGTTGTAAGCGGTCCACTGAAAGGGAGCTTGAAAATCAAAAATGCCCATGTTAATTTAGATTCGCAGACTGCAACGCAGAATACAAACAGCATAGACAGGCATGTGAACAAGTTGTGGAATTTAGAAATACTTGGGGTCAGGGAAACTGACGATGTGTACGAAGCCTTGTTAGATAAAATTGAGTTTAATGGGCATAAGTACTCTGTTAAATTGCCGTGGAAGCAAGGTCATGGGCATTTACCAAGTAACTATGCCAATAGTTTAGCACGCATGGAAGGGCAAATTAAGCGCTTGTCGAATGAGCCTGATTTGTTAAAGAATATGATAAAATTATCGGGGATCAACTAAAAACGGGAGTCATTGAAAGGGTTGACGAGTCAGAACCGGGGATGAATGTTCATTATCTTCCCCACCAAGCGGTGATACGTATCGAAGCCAAAACAACTAAGCTAAGAATAGTGTATGATGCATCATGAAAGGAGGGTAAGAAAGGGACTTCCTTGAATGACTGTCTTCATGTAGGACCATCATTAACACCGTTGTTGTTTGATATATTAATCATATTTATGGAGAACAGAGTGGCCTTGGTAGGAGACATAAAGAAAGCATTTTTGAACGTAGAGGTAGACAAAGCAGACAGGGACTATTTAAGATTTCTGTGGGTTAGAGATGCGACTAATGCTAATTTAGAGGTTGTTGTTTACAGGTTTTGTAGAGTAGTGTTTGGATTAAATGCTTCGCCATTTTTACTCAACGCCACGCTCAGGCATCACATAGCGCAATTTGTAGAATCACATCCAGTGCTTGCTCAAAAATTGGATGAAGGATTTTACGTTGATGACTTAGTTTCGGGGGCAAAAGCGCACACAAAACGTTCGATTTATATGAAAAGGCGAAATATAGAATGTGTCAAGGCGGTTTTAAGTTAAGGAAATGGATAAAAAATGACGCAAACGTGCGAGCGCTTACAGAACAGCGTTGAATGGGTGAACAATGGTGTGAACAGATGATGAAACATTCACACAGTGGAGTTTGAGAGTCCAAAATAACGATGATTACGCAAAAGTTTTAGGTATAAGCTGAGATTGCGACAATGATCTGTTCATGTTAGACCTGCTAAAGTTTGTAGGAGACTTGGGTGACAAGAAGTTAACTAAACGAAACCTGCTGAGCGCACTAGCAAAGATATTTGATCCGCTGGGATTAATTAGCTGCGTAATAGTTTCGATGAAAATCTTGTTTCAGCAGTTGTGCGTTGAAAAGATTGATTGGGATGACGAGACAAGCAGAAAGTACGTCGATCTATACACTAAATGGCTTGAAGATCTAAACCGTGTTAAGACTATTAAGCTAAAAAGATGCATCTATAGTGGTGTGAAGGCCAAAATTCAATCTTGTGAACTTAACGGGTTTGGTGATGCAAGCGAGAAAGCGTACTGCGCGCTAGTATATTTTGTTTGTCGCACGAGTGTTGGAGTCTTAGTGAAATTGTTAACGGCAAAAACTAGGGTTGCGCCGCTGAAGAAGCTTACTATACCGCGCTTAGAGCTAATGTCCGCGCTGATGTTAGCAAAGTTAATGGAATCTGTGCGGAAAGCTTTAGTAGGCGAAGTAGGGAAAATAGAAGCAAGTTACATGTTAGATAGTATTACAGTATTATATTGGATTCAGAATCGCGGTGAGTGGAAACAGTTAGTTAGACATAGAGTAAATGAAATCTTAGCAATAACACTGAAGAAGAAGTGGGAAAATTGTCCAGGAATGGAAAATCCCGCTGATTTAGGAAGCAGGGGAGTGTTTGCGTGGAAGATACAAGAGCAATCAATTTGGTGGACAGGACCAAGGTGGCCGAGTAGCGTAGAAAGAGAGTGGCCGCAATCAGAGGTAGGCGTAACAGAGGAGAGTAAAGAAGAAGAAAAGCGAATGGCGGAATGGTAGTAGGAGAGAAGGAATCAGAACGTGAATGGACAGTAGGGTGGAATGTAATACGGCATGGGAATGGAATGGAATGGAAGGGGAACATGGAAGGAATTGGGAGTCAGGAGATAAGTAAAGCAGAAAACTTCGGTTGAAGGCTTGACAAGACAGGCTAAAGAAGGAGGATAAGTTCAAGCAGTTAGAGATACAACTTAAGGTAGTAGAAGATGAGGGGCTACTAAAATGTCAGGGTAGGCTAGCAGAATCAGACTTGGAAGAGGAAACGATGTTTCCAATCTTATTACCAAAGGAAGGTAGATTGACGGAATTAATAGTTGAGCATTGCCACAAAAAGGTACATCATAGCGGAGTTAGGGTAACTTTAGCAGAGATAAGGTCATGGTTCAGGATTCTACAAGGCAGACAGAAGGTAAAATCAAGTCTCAACAAATGTGTCGTGTGTAAGAAATTAGAGAGTAAACCATACAATAGACCTGACGAAGCAAACCTTCCGGCATTCAGAGTAGAGCAAGCGGAACCATTTTTGAAGACAGGGGTAGATTTTGCTGGACCACTATTTGTAAAGAATACATCAGGGGGGCAGACAAAGTATACCTCGCATTGTTTTCCTGTTGCCTAACTAGGGCCATATATTTAGACTTAGTTAAAGATTTTTCTGCGGATGAATTCATGAGATGGCTTGGACGATTGTCAGCTAGAAGGTGGACCCCGTCATTAATGGTATCAGACAATGCAAAAACATTCAAAGCAACAGTCAAGACTTTAGAAAACCTCTATAATAATGCAAGTGTGCAAGGGTATTTAGGAAACAATAGGATAGAGTGGAAATTCAATCTAAAAAGAGCTCCCTGGTGGGGTGGATTTTTTGAAAGGATGGTTAGGTCAGTAAAGAGGTGCTTGATATAGGTATTAGGAAATGCTAGGTTGACAGTTGACGAGCTACTGACAGTGATGGTAGAAGTTGAGGCTAAATTAAATTTTAGGTCATTGACTAATACGTACGACAAGGTGGGTGGTGAACCAATAACTCGTTCGAATTTGGTAACAGGAAGAAGTTTGTTTTCCATGGCAGACGAAGGGTCTGGTGAAGAGGAGTGTGATGAGGGTTACTGTAAAAATGGTATCAGTATTTGAGTAAGAAAAAAATGCATTTATGGAATAGGTGGCGTAAAGAGTATTTGGTTGGTTTAAGAGAGTTTCATAAGCAGGACAAGGACAATGCCATTAGGGTTGTGGATAAGGGAGATGTCGTGACTGATTATGAAGATAATGTCAAAAGAGGAAATTGGAAGTCAGGTGTAATAGAGGAGTTGTTTTTCGGGAGAGATTGGGTGGTAAGAGGAGCTAAGGTCAGGATAGTTAAGAACGGTAAAGTCATTCACCTCAATCGTTCCGTCCAAAAGCCCTTTCCTACCGAGTTAAAGCACGATTAAATTGAATGTGAGCGTAAAGAGAATGAAAAAGAGATGAGAGGAATGGAGGCAGAACATGAGGGTAGAAGCATGAGAGCCACTGCTCTTGATTCTGTATGGAAGACACAGAATATGCTTGATTAGTGGGACTAATCAAGGTGGGGAGTGTGTTGTAAATTGTCATGTCAAATTATGTTGTGTGTGACTGTCATATTATAGATTATAAGATATAGCGGATATTAAACTGATGTAAAATAGTATAGTCATGTTAAGAGAACACTTCCACACCGTAATGTGTCATTGCGGTAGGATGTAGGTAGAAACAGAATGGCAAAGTTGTGCGTCATATGTAAACGCCCAAAAGCCTCTTCCGAATAATTATACATAAATATAGCTTGCAATCGTTGGTTCGGGAGTTCGAAAAAGTTGTAGTTATTGGTGTATGAACTATTCATACAAATTTGATGAATCAGAGTCGTATTGCAGAAGGCAATAAATTTCGAAAACGCAGTTCTAGGATTGACGTTTGTCCGTAATCTTAACGAGATCAAATTTAATTATTCCGTATCGCAAAGAACCAACGCTTGGAACGTAAAAACGTGCAAAACACTGTAAATATCTTACTGAAGTGTTAAAATTTATAATCAAAAATACAGTCCCATCGTTAGTGCGAAGTTTTAGAACAGTGAACCAACACTTCACGCAGATTGTGCGAAATCTACTATTGCTATTCAAACTTTTAAAATGTTTTTGCTAAAGTTTACCTGAGTAAAATGGTTGCCACGTTTTGTTTTTCCATCGTCCAAAATTCTCATTAAGACATTGACAAGTCTTTTTGCATTTTGTTTCATTTATTAGACTGCCTGTATTAATTACACAAAGTAGAAAGAATACATTAGAATAAGTAAAACTATTAAACGATTTATTCCAACTACTTAAAATCATGGACACAATAACATTATCATAAAGGTCAAGTTAATGACAACTAATGTTGATTTTAATATTTTGAAATTAATTTATAAAAATATAAAAGTCATTAAAAGATCAAAGAGAACCACCTATCATCTTTTGCAAGAAAAAAGAAAGAAAAAAAAACGTAAACGAATATGAAAGCAAAAACGAAAACAAAAAATGAAAACAAAATTCTTTCAATATGAGATTCTATGAAAATTAAATATCGTCAAATAAACATTAGAACAATGGAGATCGATAGAAAGACGTTGTTAAGAAAATGTTAATAAAAATCTTTGCAATGAATGTTAAAAGTTTTACATTTCAAAGCTTTAGAATTAGGTATGTTTTGTAGTTTGCATAGCAAAGCAAAGAAATTAAAGAAAATTGAAAAATGTTATAACTACCTGTTTGTTTTGATGCACACTTTTTCAAGTGTACTTTGAACTCAATATTATCTGCAGCTTTAAGACGTTCATGAATATGTTGACTTACGTCCCCAATTATACCACTGGGTTGATCTCGGCCTTCACCGTTTCCTTTAAAATACATCATATTTTGAGTGGAGATTAAAACAAATTGATCTTTATAAAAAGGGAATGAATTACTCTGGCAAGTTTCTTAAGGCTGGCGTATTATTAATTATATTGGAAAAAATTAGTTTTGGGATATAAGTCGCCTCGTACGCAAAAGATTTTGGAAGATCATGAAAGGTTGTGTGAAAAAACGGGATAAAAATAAGATGATAGACTATTGGTAACAAGTACGTAAAGGCTTTTTATTATTAAATATAAACCGTTTCAATGTAAGTCATTGAACTGTAAATAAGGTTATGTGTATGAAAGTAGAATCTCTTGCGTTTTCGTCTGTTGTAAACTAAAACTTTGAATTATTAGAGGTGTAGCTATGAAGGTAAATTTAATAGAAATAAAAGAAATATTTACTTGTATACGAATGATGCACTATTTTATGTTACAGCATGATACTGTCAAACTTAACACAAAAAGTAATTAACACGAAATTCAATAATCATTCATGATGTGTGTTTGTGAATGATAACTAATAATAGTCTAAGAAACCGTTTATATCTTCTTCTAGAGGTATCCAATTTTTTACCTTTATTATATTTTGCTTCAAAGAGATTTATGTCTGATAAATTTATTATCCAAAGTTATAACTGATTCTAATCTATTTTCAAGTTGCTAGCCAAGTGCTTGCTTGATTCTAAAGTAAGGATTGTAACGCAAGTCACCTGCACTATGTAGCTAAAATTTTATTCAAAGACTACAAATGCTTGCATTTTTATACATGGGTTATTAAATTTTTAGATGCAAATATATAGACTGATTTTTTTTTTGTATTCTATTCTGTACATTCCACTGCATAACACAAACACGCACTCACACACATTTCAAATTCAAACTGTTTTGTGATTGTTAGAACTTCTTTCCTCGGTAATAATCATGAAAGGTAAAGACCTATTTTTGGTCTTTTAACCAGTGTAAAATGAATGTAGTGATATAAAAATTTTATTTTCTTCAAAATATTCTTTACAACTCTGAACTACCTTTAAAGAATAATTTCTTAATTATCGCTCAAATTTGCTAATCAATGAACCTTTCCTAATCAATAATGCTGCCAAAGAATTTTGCTTAAATAACCCCGTGACGAAAAATTGAGTCATCATTTTATTGCATTTTTATAAAATATAGAGTTAATTAAAAACTCTTGCCAAATTTTAACGAAAAATTCTATCATTATCCAGGTTTTTTCTGCATTCAAACCTGCAATTTTATGGCCGCAAATAAAAAATTGGATTAAAAAACGGGACATTTATCCGATATGAAGACGTTGTTTACTTAAGGAAATTGTTCCCGGCACAACAATTAAGATTACAAAATACACACAATGCAACGAGTGCGCTAATTGGTCTAGAGCTGTGTTTGCAATAGCCTGAGCAAAATACATATGTGCTCACCAATTAAATCGATCAAAACAATCAATCAGTCAAAGAGAATTTGCAAATCATTCATGAAAACATTTTAGCGGAAAAATGAAAATGTTTGTCTTTTTGCATTATTTTATTTTATAAAAGAACTAAAAGATGTTTTTCGTGAATGCACTGGCTTATGCAAGCCTTGAAGATGTTTGTAAGAACCACCGAGCATGTGCGACCCTTGACCTCCAGTCTCGGGCTTGCACTGATCTGCTCTCAAGTTCCTTAAAGGTCTCCTCCATTTGCATAATCTTATGCTAACACAATAAACGTCTTTTATTTCTTTATTGAAATGCTGTGCGCTTGAGCCTCATAGTATGAAATTTAAAGATACTTTTAAGATTTTTGGCAGTCTATTTTTTAAACTATGACATTTGACAAAAGTTCAGAAACAAATGTAGACTCTAAATCGTTTTCTTAGCCGTCTCTTAGCGCAAACACTAACACAGACGAACAAAAATTTGGTAAAGCTTGCGTTTTTTTTATCAAACCTGTAGGCTCCAGCTACTTGTATAGAGCATATGGAATATTAACAACAGTTAATTACACGAACGACAGTAAGGGGAAGAATTAAAAACTATGTATACAATTATCTGCAAAGAAACCAACCCATACTTGGTAATTTTGTCTGTATATAGAGTCAATTGTATGGTGTTTTGCTTAGTGTTCTGTAGATTATTGTATAAATACTAGAGTACTTACAAGCTTTGTACGTGTATAAAATGCAGCAACAGGAACTTAGCATATGAAACATAGCGAGTGTCTTTGTTATTTTAAAAACTGTGCCATGCAAAAAAAATGATGGTGGAGAAAATGGATGGTAGATGTTTCATTGAGAACCCTGCCTTGGAACAAGTATGTTTGGAAATTAATTTGGATGCTGAAAACTTCTGGTTGAAATTATAAAACAAACTCCAAAATATGCAAGAACTACACAATCTTTTTTACTAAAAGGAAAACAACTGAATTCAAGTATATAATCAGAGGCAAGGTATTGAATTTGCATTTTGGTAATATATGTAACAAATAGTATATAAAAGACTAGTAGTCAGGATATTAGGGCTACACTAATAGACTAGTGGTCAGGCTACAGTGGAAGTTAAATACTGTTAGTTTAAACATGACTCAGACATATAATTAAAATTTGTCTATATTGGGTGGGTATTCTTACTGAATTTTTTAGTCGAATTGAATGCAATGTGTCTTTTATTGACTCAGAAAATGTTAATTGTAAATCAGAACCATTATACTATTTCTTTCTATTTTTGCATATACTCAAAAAAGGAACTAAGTACCGTTTTAAACTCCTAGTGTAGTCCCGACCTAGCCCGACCACTAGTTTATACGCAAAAGCCCTAAAAAGTCTTTAAAAATTCTCCATTAGCTGCCATTGCTTTAAATACTATTTTCTACTCATAACACCAAGAAGCAAGTTTAAAACCTTGCCTCGGATTACATAGTTGAATTCTGTTTCTTTCCTTATGTTTCTTCCCTTGTTTTATTATTCAATCATGCAGTTTTTAGCAACAAATTTATATTTTAAACATACTTGTTCAAAAGAGAGATATACTTATATCCTTTTAAGAAGACACGATCTATTGAAGCGGTTTATTTTCTTTGCTTTTCCACTGAATCCCCCTTTCAAAACTCATACTACAAAGAAGCCTATTGGATGACAGAAGAATTAACACACACGAATTCAACAAAAAAACCCTCCCAAGAAAGTGTTTCTACAAAATTCACACACACGCTGCACCATGAAAGAAACCAACAAACCAGAATATACCTACTCGTACTCCACGTTTATGAAAAAAAACTAACCCAATTGTGAATATTATCACACTGCACATGCAAACAATTAGTTGAAGCTGGAAAATAAAACAAGGACTTGGACCGCTTACAGGAAAAAGGGAGTTGTTGCAAATGGGAGCTATATATAGTCTGGCAAAGGCTGAAAATGCCCAGTGTTTTAAAGGAATGGCAGGGATTTTTCAAAAGAAAACTATAATGAGATGCATAAATCAAAATACGCAAAATGAAAGCTCAAAATAATACGAACTGTGACGCAAAAATGCAAAAATATGGAGCTCGTCAAGCAAAATTTGAATTGTAAAATACTTTTAATCAGGGGCGGATCTAGGATTTTTCAAACATCAGTCGTGAAACGTCGGAGGCGTTCCGCACTTGGGGGGTGGGGGGGTCTGAGGCATTCTCCCCTGAGAAATTTTGAATTTCAGAGCCTTGAAAATGCCATTTTAAGCGTTTTAGAGCAATACAAAATGTATTTTGTGGGCATCGTTTTTGCGCAAAAACTACACATTTTGCTTACGTTTTTTCAAATATAAATATGAAGTGAACAATAGTTGAATGTTTTGCCAAATATTTAGTTTCATTGTCGTGCCAAATATATGGCTCATTAGCATGTCTAGGAAAGTAAAATTTATTTCACAATACTGCTATTCAAAAACAGATATAGTCTTTCAAAATTTCTACCAAGTTGTCAGGCATAGACCCCCTAGAGACCCCCCTTCAAACTTCTATGTAATGAGTTAAGTTAGAAATTTGGTACTACAAGTGACAGTTCATAGATATAGAAAAGCTCAGACTTCAAACTATGTAAGTTTATTGTAACCCTTCACCCATCTTCACATAAGTGCCAGCAAATTCACCTTTTGAGAAAAAACTCAAAATTTTTTTCTGCCAAAGATTAAGCAAAAATTATCACAGTGAAAATTTGCAGTTAAGGACAGCTTAATGCCATAAATGTTTACTAGGCATTTCACTAGACTATTATCTTCTGTAAGGTGTGCTATATAGCAATCACTAGTAGCATTGCATTTGCAAATACAAACAGAATGTAACCAACATGTCTTTAATTTTGTAATTACATGAATGCTAAAATTGGTTCATGTGTCATGCTTACTGGTTATGATAAATATCTTTTCATAAGATCAAAGCTTGTTTAAATGTAAATCTGAAATAATTTAGTTTAGAAATTATAATGATCATCAGAAAAATTACCTAGTGATCATGAAAAATATTTTGCTGTTTTGCCAAATTTCATGGTTTATCTGCATACATAGGAAGACATTTTTACTTTATAGAAAATGCTTTTCACACATCAATAGCCCTTTGGAATTTATGGCAGACAATCTGGTATGAGCCCTAGATTAACACACCTTTACATCTCTACATGTGGTGTTCAGTTAGAACAGGGGACAATATGTGACATTGGACATCATTTCATGTATGTGAAATACTCAGGTTTAATACCATTCCAGTCAAATTGTAAAAATAAAAAGCTTCATGGATCAGAAGACTCAAAATCACAGGTTATAGTAAACAGCTTCTCATGTAATCAATGTTAGTTTTCTCAAATCTTAAACAATATGTAGAATAACTGTCCAATGATTGAATGATCAATGATCATAAACTGAAAAGCCCCAAACATTTGTTTACGATAAAGTAAATAATAGTATGGCGCCTTACGGCTACAGACGTTTTGTCCATTGAAATATATTTTCAGGAATGTAGGATTTCGCT